ATTTACCTAAACACCCACGGATCTTCTAAGTAGTAGAGCTGTTCTTTTAAATAGGCCAAAACCTGTGAAAATTTGCCAGAGACAGTCAGCCATGCCCAGAAGCAAAAGCCAGCCAGCAATGGAATTGCAATAGCATTCCAGGATTAATCTCATTCCTGGAAGTGGGATTTTCTCATGCTCTTCCCACAGAGTCTAGAGGGCCTCAGAACCTCACCTTGGGTCTTCCTAATGGCTTCTAGAACAGATTTAATCTCACTAGTGTCTAGCTTCAGAAATCTAGTTTTCCAGAACCTCATTCACACAATTCCAACTGTTTTTTCTGACCTCAGAGGGTTTGATTTAACGCTTTCTTCCTACCACAGTGGAAGGAAGGGACACAGACACTCTTCTCAGAGATAGGATCTCCAGAATTGATGGTTCCCCCAAAATGTCCAGTGACTGTCAGAAGGAGCCTCCTTTTCTTTAAGAAAACTCCAGTGTTTTTAATTGTGAGCACTTTCCTTCGCTTGAAGCCCCCAAACCCTAAGGTGATTCCTGGCATTAAGAGGATTTAGGGGCCAGGCCAGGTGCAGTAGTAGTTCACACCTGTAATCCCAGCATTTTGGGAGGCCGAGGCCGGCAGATCACCTGAGGCTAGGAGTTCGAGACCAGCTTGACCACCATGGTGAAACCCCAACCCTACTAAAAATACAAAAAAAAAAAAAAAGCCAGTCTGGTGGCAGGTGTCTGTAATCCCAGCTACTTGGGAGGCTGAGGCAGGAGAATCACTTGTACTGGGAACCGGGAGGTGGAGGTTGCAGTGAGCTGAGATCACGCCACTACACTCCAGCCAGTGTAAGAGAACCAGACTCTGCCTAAAAAAATGAAAAGACTTAGGGCTATGGAATTAGCTATGGTATCCCCAAAGTCCCCAGAATCTGTTCAGCTATTTTGCAGCACATCAGGCATCTCTGAAAGGCTCCAAAGTTAAGAAATTCCCAATCATTTGTGAATTCTGATGGAGCCCAGAATTGTTTCTGTAGCTCATAGTAGGTGTAGGAACACCCAGTGTCTAACCCTAGGTCCTTCTTTGAAGGCCAGGTTGTCCAGAAACCCCATGAGTTTCCTCCTTCATCACATAAGGATGTGTGCACCCTGGAGGCAGAATCAGCACCTGAGCTACTTCCAGGTCAGTGATGGTGTCCAGGCTGCCTCCAGGAACTGATTGGTTGTGCCCTGATTGCCCCCAGAAATCTTTTACCTTATCTTCTCCTGGGAAAAAAATCCCAGGAACACCATAGTCCTAACTGCCACTGGAAGCATTGGAATCCAAGATAGAGATCCCAAAGATTTCTTTAGCTTTTCTGGAGTAAGTAGGGGCTGTCACATGGCCTCAGCTTAGAACAAAAGCCAGCAGTCATTAGCCAATATTCCTATTGAGTTTATAGATGACTGTGAAGATCTCAAGGTTGGCACAAGGATTCACAGATCAACTCTGGATGAGGTTAATGCTATCAAGAATTAGCTCCAAACCTGCAATTATAGATTGCAATCTGGCCACATTCAGAGACCCTCAATTCTGAGATCTCTAGAAACTTGTCCTAGTACTTCTCTAGGATAGGGAAAAAAGCCCTGTATCTACCAGCTCTTAGGCTTGAGAAATTAATAATAGTGAAACAGAAGGCTTCTAGGTGAACTTGGCCAGCTTCTTGGGAAATGTTGACTTAATGTGAAGAAACACCATATGTCTGAATATCTATCTCAGTATCAGGTACCTGATGTCAGAGGTTTTTACTACAAAAACAAACAAGGACAACAAAGTCATACAGTTACCCCAAAACCCTATTATCCCCACAGTGAGACATCCAAAGAAGAAATGGCTCTGCAAGGCGTACACAGAGGGCTGAATGTTTGTGTCCCTCAAAATTCATGTGTTAAAATCCTAGTTCCAACGTGATATATTTACAGGTGGGGCCTTTAAGAATAATCAGGTCATGAGGGTGGAGCCCTCTTAAGTAGGATTAGTGCCCTTACAAAAGGGACCCTCTCACCTTCTTTCTGCCATGGGAGCCTACGATGAGAAGTCAACAGTCTACAAACGGGAGGAGGGCCCTCCAGGAGGGCCAGAACGCAACAATGCTGGCACCTTGATCTTGGCCTTCTAGCCTCCGGAACTGTGCGAAATCAATTTCTGTTGTTATAAGCTACCCAGTCCATGGTTATAGCAGCACGAGCTAACTAAGATAACACAGACCATCCCTCACGGGACAAAGGGCCTTCATTAAGCCCCAAATGTCTTTCAAGGACCTGGGAACCTACTGAGCCATCCTGCAGTCAGTCTCACAAAGGTTACTGCTACCTTTGCATCAGATTTGTTACTTCCTTAACAAAGGTCCACAAGACCAACTATTTTTTCTTACCTTTACTCAAAAGCAAAATATGTTTGCTATAACAATTCAAAAGGAAACATAGTTGTTTATAAAGCAAAACTAGGTTTCTCCCTTCTCCACTTTCTCTGGGGAAATCTTATATGAATTTTTTATACTCTTTTCTATGATATATATATCTAATATATAAAAATATAGATAGATACAATATGTATCTATATATAATATAAATAATATATAGGATATTATGTTTTTAACATAAATTATGTCATAAACACACACACATATTGAAGTTTTTCCAGGTTCATTTGTTTCACTTTGTCTTTTTAAATCAATGCGTCAGTAGACATTTTCCACCTTATCTTTCTCCACCATCGCTCTTAGTTAATAACTTTCCTTTCATCCATAAGTTAGATAATCATGAGGGAACTTTCACAACAACCCTCCTACCAACTACTATGTTCAGATTCTCTGGCTTCTCTCCTGTTCCTATGGCTGCCAGGACACTGCCTTCTCCTGGTTTTCTTCCTTTACAGTGGTCACTCATTCTCAGTCTTGATTCTGGTTCCACTTCATATTCCCAAGCTCTGAACTGTAGAGTTCCCCAGGATTCATCCTTAGACCTCTTATTTTCTCAAGAGACAGTCAATCTCTAGTGATCTGATCCAGTTCTGTGGGTTTCAATGCCATATCTACACTGATGCTTCCAAGTCTCCATATGGAACCTCTTTCCTAAACTTCAGAGGAATGAGTCTATTTGCCCACATCAAACCTCCACTTGGAGGTCTAACAGGTCTCTCAAACTTACCATGTCTGATCTCCACTGCCCCCTCTCCCCACTTGTTACTGTTGTTTTCAACATAGTAGCATTAGAGTAAGTTTTACTATATGGTAATGCAGGAATTCTCCCATTGTTATTTATCAATATTTTCTTCAGGTTCTATTGAATAATCGTACAAGTGCTTACACTGGGCTTACAAAGATATAATTTTGAGCAAGTCACCTTCCCCTCTCTAGGACTCATTTGGAAAATCAGGTCAATAGTTTTCAGTTGTCTCACGGCAGTTCAGCTAGGTAGACTCTAGTTTTCACTTTCCTCGGTGTTCCTGGAGATTACTCTCACTTTAATTCAAGCTCTATTACATTTCATCCAGATTCCCGGGTAGGTACGGGTGTGTGCGTGTGTGTGTGTGTGTGTGTGTGTGTGTGTGTGTGTGTAAAGGTTTATGGTCATGTACTTTGCCATACAGGTAGATGTAGATGTCCCCACATGTCTGAAGTAATTTGTGTATAAAATAAGAGGGTTCAGCTGATTTTTTGCCCCTTATTGTCTTTGCTAGAGCAGTGACAAGGGTATCACTTGGGAGATTAATAGAAATTTAGAACCCAGGCCCTCCTCCCAGACCTACAGGTGATTTATGTGTCCATTCAACACTGAAGTAGGCAGTGTTCCCTTATATTCCTGCAGCTTTGGCATTATAGGAGAAACCAATGATTAAGTTATCATAATTCTGGTTTTCCTTTTTTCTAAGTATCAGACTGAATTAAATTGGAAACATTCTCCAAGCTTTAAGAATTCCCTAAAGAATTTGAAAGAGGGTGAGGAAAAAAGCAGTAAAAAGGTGTTCTTGCAATTGTCCTGGCCTGTGATAAATACGGAGGTCTTTTTCTCTCTTCACTTGTATGTGACAAAGATTCTTTCCTTGGCCAAACTCTACTCAGGTTCCTATGAGCAATTTTCCAACAAGGCCTGACTTTTGGACTTCTGAGTTCATCTCTGCATGGTCCAATTTTAGCACAAATCCGGCTAAGTCAGTTTAGTGAAAGTCCTGCACCCTCGATATCTAATCAAATCCCTCATTTCCCATCCTGGATGTCTTATCACACTGGCTTGCCTTCAGCAAGGATCCTACTAAGTAGACTTAGCCGGAATACCACCCGGATCCTTGATGTTTCCTCTTAGCAGTTTTTCACCGAGCGACCCTCACTGTGCTCCTTGGCTATGAATTCCTACATTTCCTTTTTACATTCGGGGTCAAGCTCAATCTCTCTTTCCAATGCAAGACCCAATCTCAGTGGTCTTTACATTTATCTTGATAGTCACCCCCCACCAGGCTTTAACAAAGTCTTTCTTACTGTCTTTAATAAGCATTAGAATAATTTTTTCTTTAATACATAATTATATTTGTTTTCTACCTGTTTGGGGCTTGTTTCTTTTTTTTTGTTTGTTTTTTCTTTTTTGTTGTGTTTTTGTTTTTTTGTTTTTCCTCTCATTTTTTCTCTATTCCATTAATTCTGAAAACAACTACTACCCTGCTCAAACATCTTCTCCGAGTCTTGCTTTCCCTTCAACCTGTTCAGGTACACATCATCTATTCCAAATAAGGTTTTCTTCTAAGACTTTATCTGAAAATAAGTTATCTGGCTTTAAAAAAACAAAACAAGAAATTTTTCATCTCTAACATTTTCATATTTTAGTATTAGTTATAAAATAAAAGATAAATTACAAAAGAAAAAATATAAATAGCCGACAAGTATATTTAAAAGATTAATCTTTCTAGTAATCAAGAAAATGTGTCTTAAAACAAGATAAGATTTTTAAGCTATCAAGTTGACATGGATTATGCAACATACCTGTGTTTCTCAGAGTTTGAGTATACAACATTATTCACACTCTGAAAAAAGAAATACATTTCACAATTATTTTTAAATACAGTCTTTAATCTTTTCATCATATTTCTAGGAGTTTATCCTAAGGAAACATTTAAGAATGTAAACAAATATTTAGCTGGAAGGATAGTTATCAAAGTGCTGTCTTTATTAGGGGAGTAAAAAGAATTTGAAATGCCATAAGTATCAAACAAATGTAAATTAACTTCAGCTGTTTATGGTAAAATTGTACTGGAACAATGCTTAGAGGGAATGGTATTTACAATATATCAATTTTAAAAGATGTGTTTCAAAATAATATGAATCCTATTTTAGTAAAATAAATATGCATATGTGAGTGTCCATGTACGTCTGCCTGTGTGTGTGTTTGTGTGTGTTGCTTGAGAAAAACATAAATGAGTTATTTTTTGCATTGGAATTACAAAGTTTCTAATTTAGATTCAGTATTTGTGGGTTTTTTTTTTTTTTTTTTTTTTGAGACGGAGTCTCACTCTGTCGCCCAAGCTGGAGTCCAGTGGCCGGATCTCAGCTCACTGCAGCTCCGCCTTCCGGGTTCCCGCCATTCTCCTGCCTCAGCCTCCCGAGTAGCTGGGACTACAGGCGCCCGCCACTATGCCTGGCTAGTTTTTTGTATTTTTTAGTAGAGATGGGGTTTCACCGTGTTAGCCAGGATGGTCTCGATCTCCTGACCTCGTGATCCACCCATCTTGGCCTCCCAAAGTGCTGGGATTACAGGCTTGAGCCACCGCGCCTGGCCGTGGTTTTTTTAAGTAGGGAAAGAAATAAGAAAAAAAAGTATTGTTAAATTTCAAAAGTACAGAGTCTTTCTCCCAAGACTGATGACGGAAGAGGAAAAAGTAAAACCCTAAGAAAGAGTTCAGCTTTCCTTTTTCAATTTTCGGTTCTTCACTGTTTTTAGATGAAAACTCCTAATTAGCAAATCACCTTTTGATAAGCAATGAGTGTCCTGGTGTGGCCAAAATGCAATTATTGAGGCAATTAATTAGTCATTGAACAAACGTATAACTACTTTTGTCCCTTAAATAGAAAGAACATATAGGGTGTTTGTCTCTTCAGGTTTTCTCTATACCTGACTTCTGTTCTCTTTCGCAGTTAATAATACTTTTTCCAGTGGCTTCATGACAAAGGTATATATATTTATCCAAACCACTCAGTCTGTCCATTTCTAGCAGCTACAGTAAAAATTCCAGTGTTAAAGCAGATGACAACTATTGATTAATGGTTGAGGAAAAAGCAATTTTTTTTCAATTGTTTTTCTCTGTCAGCAACTAAGAAAAACAAAATACTAGGGAAATTACTGACTTGCTGATTAAGCAATGTTAAAATAGACACTAATACTTTGCAAAGTAAGATGCAAATACATTACTTCTCATCTTAATTTCAAAACAAAATGTAATAAAGTGTAACAAATAATTTGCATAATATTTTCTAACTTTTAAAAAGTCATTTGAATAAATTATGAAAAAACAGATAAGCAAAAGAAAATATAAGTTAAAATCATCCGTGATCCCACTGCCATAGGACACTATCCTTAACATTTGTATATTTACTGTTGTAGTCTATTTTCTATACTAAAATAGATAGGTGTATATAACATATATAACTTGAATCATAGTAAGCCTGTTGCTTCATAAGATTCATTCCATTAAAAAATAAGTCATGAAGCTATTTTGTGGATTACTATCTTATAACAGAAATGTAATGGCAGCAGGATGATCCACATGACAAGCTGATAAAAATTTATTTTCTTTTCCACTTTTTATTTTGAAATTTTAGACTCAGAATAGTTGCGGCAATAGCACAAAGAAATCCTAAAAGTCTTAAATTCCTGAATGTTAACATTTTACTGCATGTGTTCAGCATTCCCATGCATACTTTCTCTCTTTCCCTCTCATCTGACTCCTTCTCTCCACAGACGTATGTATACATGTGTACGTATATGTGTGTGTGTGTGTATAATACTTTCTAAAGAGAAAGCTGCAAACAGCATTACACTCTAAACACCTGAGTGTAATTTTCTAAAATGAAGGATGCTCTTTTACATAAACATTACAATTAATAAAATTAGTAAAATTACTTAACATTGATGCAATACTTCTTGTGATACACAGATCAAAGTTACAGAATAAATTCAAATTACTCCCATTTTTTCCATAATGCCTTTTATAGAGCAGGAATGTTCTTTTTCTTATCCAGAGCACAAGCAAGGATAACACATTGCATTAGTAAATCGGGTCAGAGCCAAATCATGGTGGACATTGAGATGTAGGTCTATTAAGAAGTTTCTACTTAATCTTATAAGAATAGAAGACATTGGAAGTTTTAAGCTCAGATTATCAAGTTTTGTTTTGTTTTTTTTTAAAGGCATTTCTGTTGGCATTACAGAAAACGATTTGGAAGAACAAGACTGTTTAATACATTTCTGGAGCAGTATGACACAAGAGGACAAGGCACCGACTATACAGATGGAGAGAAGGGGAAAATAAGAGATGGATCAAAATGACGTGTGCAAAGGCAGCATCTGCTCCTCCATTCCAAAGTAGGAATTAAATAGTTTAAGTTTGTGATGGCAGACCTTTTCCTACCACTGGTATTCACTTATAAGGAAGACGACAAGAAAATTTCCTGCCTTCAACTTATGTTTGCAAAGAGTGTTTTAAGATTGAGTTTGTAACACATTGTGTATTTCTCAGTGAAAAAGGATAGTCCAGTTTAACAACTGTCCATTTCACATCTAAAAATCTGTTATACCATCACAGCCCCCTATTGTACGTCAAATTATGAAAGGCCTTGAATATCAGTCCCAAAAGGTCTTACTTTATCCAATAGCCAGCCTAATGTTAAAGATCATTCTTAGTTTTGCACTTAAATAAATGGATAGTGCTAAACTTCTGTCACTTAACAAGCTAAATTAAAGAATAATTAACAGCCTTATGAGTTAAAATGAAAACTGCACAATGTGTTTTACAATCCTATAAAACCTAACGAAATACATTCAATTAAAAAGTCTCATGTGAGAACGTAGGTTCTTAGGTTCATCATACAATTCAATCTGTACATCTTCCGGGAATTGAGTTAAAAATGCAGATTTTGATTCCATGGGTCTGGGGTGGGGTCTAAGATTTGTTATTTTAACATCCTGCCAGGGATTGTCCATGATGCTAGTTCCCAGACCACACTCTGAATAACAAGAATGTAGTAATCATTGATTGAGTCTCACTGGATAACACATTTTTACTTGGAGAGGGAGGTGGCACAGCAGGCTGGAAAGAGTACAAGGGTGGGAGTCAAGGATAAGTAATTCAAGAACTATCTCTGCCATGAATAAACTAGGTGACATGAGGCAGATCCTATGATCATTTTGGGCCTCAGTTTCCTCGATGTGTATATCTGTAATGGAAGAGTGAATTGGTTTTCTAGGACATAAGGATGTTTTTAGCAAACATTTAACAAAATTCAAACCTTAATGAGCAGACATGCTATGGCTGGTTTAATTGCAGTAAGTGTATTTATTTAAAAATATTCAATGTTTTCCTGCTGAGAGTGCATCTGAAATAATTACCATCTGATTATAAAGAAAATGGAAAACTAAATTACCTTCAAGAGAAAATGACCTCTTCTCTTCATAAAGTTGAAGGCTAAATGAAAGAACAAACAAAGATTGTAGCCAAAGAACCATAAATCAGGTGATTAAAATATTCCTTCTCATATCCAGAAATATATACCCTACTTTTCTTCCTTAGGCATGGCTTTTAGCTAAATACACTGTTTTTGAATTTGAAATGAAGCAGTTTTTCATTTCATTTAAACATGTGGCTCTCAACTGATGGGACGCAAAAGACAATTAAGTGTAGTCTATTGCAGAAGCATTCAGATTAATAGGGGCAGAGTGTTCTCAAGAAATCAATGGAGTCTAATCAGAATACCCAAATCCAAAAGTATATACCTTGTACATCGATGTTCATCAGGGATATGGGTCTAAAATTCTCTTTTCTTGTTGCATCTCTGCCAGGCTTTGGTATCAGGATGATGCTGGCCTCATAAAATGAGTTAGGGAGGATTCCCTCTTTTTCTATCGATTGGAATAGTTTCAGAAGGAATGGTACCAGTTGGAAGTCCTGGCCAGGGCAATCAGGCAGGAGAAAGAAATAAAGGGTATTCAATTAGGAAAAGAAGAAGTTAAATTGTCCCTGTTTGCTGATGACATGATTGTATATTTATAAAACCCCATCATCTCAGCCCAAAATCTCCTTAAGCTGATAAGAAACTTCAGCAAAGTCTCAGAATACAAAATCAATGTGCAAAAATCACAAGCATTCTTATACACCAATAACAGACAAACAGAGAGCCAAATCATGAGTGAACTCCCAACCACAATTGCTTCAAAGAGAATAAAATACCTAGGAATCCAACTTACAAGGGATGTGAAGGAACTCTTCAAGGAGAACTACAAACTACTGCTCAGTCAAATAAAAGAGGACACAAACAAATGGAAGAACATTCTATGCTCATGGATAGGAAGAATCAATATCGTGAAAATGGCCATACTGCCCAAGGTAATTTATAGATTCAATGCCATCCCCATCAAGCTACCAACGACTTTCTTCACAGATTTGGAAAAAAATACTTTAAAGTTCATATGGAACCAAAAAAGAGCCCACATTGCCAAGACAATCCTAAGCCAAAAGAACAAAGCTGGAGGCATCACACTACCCGACTTCAAACTACACTACAAGGCTACAGTAATCAAAACAGCACGGTACTGGTACCAAAACAGAGATATAGAGCAATAGAACAGAACAGAGCCCTCAGAAATAATACCACACATCTACAACCATTGATCTTTGACAAACCTGACAAAAACAAGAAATGGGGAAAGGATTCCCTATTTAATAAATGGTGCTGGGAAAACTGGCTAGCCATATTTAGAAAGCTGAAACCGGATCCCTTCCTTACACCTTATACAAAAATTAATTCAAGATGGATTAAAGACTTAAATGTTAGGCCTAAAACCATAAAAACCCTAGAAGAAAACCTAGGTAATTCCATTTGGGACATAGGCATGGGCAAGGACTTCATGTCTAAAACACCAAAAGCAATAGCAACAAAAGCCAAAATTGACAAATGGAATCTAATTAAACTAAAGAGCTTCTGCACAGCAAAAGAAACTACCATCAGAGTGAACAGGCAACCTACAGAATGGGAGAAAATTTTTGCAATCTACTCATCTGACAAAGGGCTAATATACAGAAACTACAAAGAACTCCAACAAATTTACAAGAAACAAACAAACAACCCCATCAAAAAGTGGGCAAAGGATATGAACAGACACTTCTCAAAAGAAGACATTTATGCAGCCAACAGACACATGAAAAATGCTCATCATCACTGGCCATCAGAGAAATGCAAATCAAAACCACAATGAGATACCATCTCACACCAGTTAGAATGGCAATCATTAAAAAGTCAGGAAACAACAGGTGCTGGAGAGGATGTGGAGAAATAGGAACACTTTTACACTGTTGGTGGGACTGTAAACTAGTTCACATTATGGAAAACAGTGTGGCGATTCCTCAAGGATCTAGAACTAGAAATACCATTTGACTCAGCCATCCCATTACTGGGTATATACCCAAAGGATTATAAATCATGCTGCTATAAAGACACATGCACATGTATGTTTACTGTGGCACTATTCACAATAGCAAAGACCTGGAACCAACCCAAATTCTATCAATGATAGACTGGATTAAGAAAATGTGACATATATACACCATGCAATACTATGCAGCCATAAAAAAGGGTAAGTTCATGTCCTTTGGAAGCTGGAAACCATTATCCTCAGCAAACTATCACCAGGACAAAAAAAAAAAAACAAAAAAAAAAACACCACATGTTCTCACTCATAGGTGGGAACTGAACAATGAGAACACTTGGACACAGGAAGGGGAACATCACACACCAGGGCCTGTCATGGTGTGGGGAGACGGGGGAGGGATAGCATTAGGAGATATAACTAATGTAAATGACGAGTTAATGGGTGCAGCACACCAACATGGCACATGTATACATACATAACAAACCTGCACGTTGTGCACATGTACCCTAGAACTTAAAGTATAATTAAAAAATAAAAAATAAACAAATTTAAAAATTAAAAAAAATTTTTTTTAAGTATATACCTTGTACAAAACATTATTTCCTCATAATTTGTAAGTAGTCGTATTAGTCTGTTTTCACACTGCTGATAAAGACCTACCCGAGACTGGGCAGTTTACAAAAGAAACAGGTTTATTGAACTTACAGTTCCACGTGGCTAAGGAGGCCTCACAATCATGGCGGAAAGTGAAAAGTACGTCTCACATGGCGACAGACAAGAGAAGCAAGCTTCTGCAGGGCAGCTCCCATTTTTAAAACCGTCAGATCTCGTGAGACTTATTCACTATCACTAGAACAGCACGGGACCCGCCCGATTCAATCACCTCCCACCAGGTTTCTCCTGCAACATGTGGGAATTGTGGGAGTTACAATGCAAAATGCGATTTGGGTGGGGACACAGCCAAACCGTATCAGTAGTAAACTAGATAGAATGGATTTTTTAAAAGTAAAGAAAGAGAAAAAGAGAGAGAAGGAAGGAGAGGGATGTATTATTTAACTTGGCAGAGACACAGTGAGCACATTCATTCACTTTCTCACAATCTTTGGGATCAGCTGTGTTTTTGAAGCAGCCCAGTATCCAGGGGTCACCTTTTGCCAGCTGCCTGGGTCCTGCTGCTTTTGATCACTTTCTCTGGCAGATGTGACGGGATTCTATTTGCCAGCTCGCTCCTTTGAGTCTGCTAACTCAGTACACACTGCTCTCATCTCACTAGCAGGGCTGCCTCTGGGTGAAAGCACTTACTCCTGCCAAAGGCGATCTCCCCTTGGAAGGGCAAGCCCCTGTCATCTCCTGACAGCCCAGACTCCCATGGCAGATGCAGCTCTCCCTCTGGTCCTGGTGTCAGATTCAAAGCCCTGACAAGCTTCCATCAGCAGAAGCTCCCTTTTAATTGCTATAGATCAAAAAGTGCTGAACATGTCAATCAAAATAGATAGAACAGGATAGAGGAAGAGAGGAAAGACTGGGCATTTACCAAGGTAACCCAGGCTTTCTTTATGCCACCTGGTCCTACCTGATTAATGGGCTGGTCATTTTCCCACCAATACCATAAACAAAAAGCAACCAATTTCAATGTCCGTACATTGACCCTTACTCTCACGTATTTTCTCTTTCCTATAATTTGTCCCTACAGCTACCTCATATTTCCATTAGGAGACACCCGCCAACACACACCCACACCTACAAGAGAGAAAGAGAGAGAGCCCTTAACCGCATTTCTTTTTTTAATTTTACATACTTGTTATTCCTTTGTTCCTTCCTATTGCATTCCTTCGACGTGGCAAAAAACGTGATTTTCACAGCTGGAAGTGGGCTTCACTAAACAGAGTCTAACAGTTGAGTAAACTAAGGCCAAGAGAATTGATCTGACTGATGCAAGGCTACACAGAAGTTTTACCTACTACCCCACTTTCTATTTAATGTACGCTTCTATTTCATGACTATGCTAGCTATATTTCAATAGCCTGATCTAAACGCTCCAGAGGCAATCACAGTGCTGGTGTGAAACCAAGCCCACTGTGCCACATTGGCCCTGCCACTCAATAGCTTCCTTCTCTGTACAGTGAGAACGTGCAGCCTTCCCTACCTCGCAGAGGAGTTGTGAGCATTGCAACTACTGTCTTGGTAATGCTATTCAGTCCAAACACAGTGAGTTCTAATTTATCGACTACTTTTTTTTCTTTTTTTCTTTTTTTAACTTTCATGTTAAGTTCAGGGGAACACGCGCAGGTTTATTATGTAGACAAATTCGTGTCATGGGGGTTTGTTGAACAGATTATTTCATTGCTCAGGTATTAAATCTAGTACCCATTAGTTATCTGTCCTGATCCAGTCCCTCCTCCCACCCTCTACCCTCTGAAAGGCTCAGTGTATGCTTTTCCCCTCTATGTGCCCATGTGTTCTCATCATTTAGCTCACACATGCAATATCTGGTTTTCTGTTCCTGCATTAGTTTTCTAAGGATATGGCCTCCAGTTCCATCCATATTCCTGTAAATGATATGATCTCATTCTCTTTTATGACTGCATAGTATTCCATGGTGTGTATGTACCACATTTTCTTTATCCTGTCTATCACTGATGGCCATTTAAGCTGATTCCATTTGCTATTGTAAATAGTACTGCAATAAACATATGTGTGCATGTGTCTTTAGAATAGAACAAATTGTATATTCCTTTGAGTATATACCCAGTTATGGGATTCTTGGGTCAAATGGCATTTCTGTTTTTAGGTCTTTTAGGAATTGCCACACTGTCTTCCACAATGGTTCAACTAATTTACACTCCCACCAGTAGTGTATAAGCATTCCTTTTTCTCCACAACCTCACCAGCATCTGTTACTTTTTGACTTTTTCATAGTCGTCATTCTGGCTAGTATGAGATGGCATCTCATTATGGTTTTGATTTGCATTTCTCTAATGTTCAGTGATTTTGAGCTTTTTTTATATGATTGTTAGCTGTATGTATGTCTTCTTTTGAAAAGTATCTGTTCATGTCCTTTGCCTGCTTTTTAATGCGGTAGTTATTTTTTCCTTGTAAATGTCAGTTCCTTATAGATGCTGGATATTAGACCTTTATTGGATGCATAGTTTGCAAACATTTTCTCCCATTCTGTAGGATGTCTGCTCACTCTATAGTTTATAGTTTCCTTAGCTGTGCAGAAGTGCTTAAATTCTATTTGTCAATTTTTGCTTTTGTTGCAATTGCTTGTGGCATCTTTGTCATGAAATCTTTGCCTGTTCCTATGCCCTGAATGGTATTACCTAGGCTGTCTTCCACGGTTTTTATAGTTTGCTGTTTTATATTTAAGTCTTTAATACATCTTG